TAATCCAATTCATTTCAGCTCATTATTTTTCACATTTTTTTCAGATCCTCCAACCATTCAATATAATTTGACCTCTACACATGTTTTCAACCATTTCTTCTACAATTCATCTTAAGGGAACTCCTAATCCAAACAGATCGCTCACTGTTCCCAAAACATGTCATGGTCTCTCCAGGTCCAACAATTCAGCAGTCACCCTGCTCCCCTTCTATAATGCTTCTACAATGGTTAGCAAAGCTAACCAGCACTTTAATGTTGTTGGACAGAGCAACTGATGCTTTATTTTTATTCTTCAAATTCTCCCAACCCCCACCTTTCTTCCTATCATTCTCTATACATTTCATGTTCCAAAGCATGAACAACTCTTTTCCTCCTACTTGATGACTTCTACACCACTTAAATTCCAAACTTTCCATTATTCTCTTTCCCCTGTCCTTTAAATTGGTTTGGTTCATACTGCCTTTAAGAAGGAATTATTCTGTGGCTATTTCTTTCACCCTATTTCTCCGTGAGCACCCTAAAACAAGCAAACAGATCTTTCACATGAAGTACCAGGTAACATTTTTTAATTCTATACTCTGACTTTCTGGGCCTACAGTAAACAGACATTCAGTTGCTGAATGTAAGAAGTGTTTCCTTCTCTATTCACAAGCAGCCTTTCTGACTAATTAAAGAATGTGTCAAAACAGCTCCCCAGAAGAACCCATATGTCAGCCAAAGAATTAAATATTTTGAAAATGAGAAGAACTACTTGGTCCATTTCTCAATAGAGATTGAGAACAAAGGAAAAGAGACAGGGAAGAAATAAAACAGAATTGAAATGGAAATAAATTTAGAATTCTCTCATTATAATATAAAGGAAAAATATTTAAGCCCAGGAGTCTTGTTAAACCGTTATGTATACGCCTAAGATTTTTTTTTACTACCCTTCTACTGTTTTTTTTTTTAAGTTGTAGATGGACACAACACCTTTATTTTATTTTTATGCGGTGCTGAGGATTGAACCCAGTGCCTCATACTTGCTAGGCAAGTGCTCTACCACTGAGCTACAGCCCTAGCTCCTGCCATAAACTTTTGATAGAATCTAAGCCCTAAAGGCAAAATGGGATTTAAAAGGCCAAGGAATGATAAGAATGATGGGGAGTGGATAGGAGGCTTTGGCATAGTACTAATAATTCCTTAATACATTGTGTTTCAAAAAGACCTGAGTGCTACCGTATATACCTGTTATCCCAGCAACTCAGGAGGCTAAGGCAGAAGGAATGCACTTTTGAGGCCAGCCTCAGAAACTTAACAAGGCCCTAAGCAACTTAGTGAGACCTTGTCTCAAAATAACAAATATAAAGGACTGGGGATATAGCTCAGTGGTAGAGCACCTCTGGGTTCAATCCTCAGTCCTAAAACAAAAAACAGAAGAGCACTTACTTATCATTCATTGCTGAATGGAAAAATAAGTTAACTGTGTTCCACCATTTCTTCCAAAACTACAATGACAAAAATTGTTAGAGAAGAACACAACACTGGTAAGGGCTTCTATCTTCCCTTAAATGTATGCTATTGCCTTGGGAACTGAGCTCCTATGGGTCCAAGTAGCAGAAATGAGAGGCATGTAGAAGAATGACATTTGAACTTGGCTGTATGTCTTCAAGGATCAAATGAAAACATGTGTTTATAGAAGCAGAATGGTTAGAATAAATAAGTAATTTAATTTAAAAAAAAAGAAGTAGCAGAATGGCTTCTCAGCTGGTTTGGATGTTCACTTTTGAGACCTTAAGATGTTCCATTTTTCTTAGTCCACTATTGGTATAGTATTTGAGAAGTATCAAACTAAACAGTAAAGATATATAGAAGGTTTGGGTCCTGGGTCTCCCGGAACAATAGCATTCCTTCCTCCTTAGAACCCATAATAGCAGCTGAAGAAGGCACCATCACAACATTTTAGTTTTTGGCTATATTCAGAAATGTTTAGAAATTCTTCATTATTGGTTCATTCAATAAATATTTGTTGATGCCATGCCATATTTGATATTGCAGGTATCAAAATGGTTAAGTGCTTATAAAGTGTTATCTAAGTATTTAACACACAGCTAGCCATAAACACAGCTTCTAATTTTGTTGGTACCCGGTATCAATTTCCTTCATTACTCTTTTTCCTTAAATCTCACCTTCTAGCTCACCATATAGGGTTCAAATAAATAAATAAATAAATAGTTCAGTTATAGTGCAACTTGCCATATGGTAAAATATACAGTATGAGATGATATGCCAAGACATGGGAGGGACAAGAGCAGGTGGCCTGTTAGCTGAGTCTTGGGCACTAACTGGCCTGGTAGATACTGGATCATATATAGGAATAAGAAGAACTCACAGTTCAATAAATTTACATTTCAAGAAGTAGAATAAAGATTTCTTCTGAAATCTAAGCCAGTTAATAAAAGAAAGGGTAGGGCTGGGGATACAGCTCAGTTGGTAGAGTGCTTGTCTTTTATGCAGAGCCCTGGGTTCAATCCCCAGCACCATAAAAAATAAATAAATAAAATAAATAAATAAATAAAAGAAAGGGTAATGCAAATTTAAATGGAAACTACTTACTACTTGGTTTGCTTCTCCTATTAAAAGAAAAGATAAATTAATTTTTACTAACAATCAAAGGCAAACAAAATTCTAAGTATCAAAAACAAGGCTAAGTGAACTATTTTTGAAGCAACAACAACGACGACAAAAAAGACCCCTGGGCGAGAAATTTTACAATCATCCCTTTTCTAGGTCAGAACTCTCCTAGAATGAGACAAAGAAAAATCTGGACCTGGAATAAGAGGAAGATATTAGGAATCCATTCACTACACTGTCAGAGATTTGTTTAACAAACAAATGAGAAGCAAGGGTAATCAGATATCAAAGGAAGAGGAAATGGACTGGGGAGAATAAATGAAAAATTACAACTCCAGAGCAAAGGGTTATACCTTTTTAGGATGCCCATGAGTTTAAATTAGGAGGAAAAGAAAAAAGCAATTATTAGGATTTGATAAAGAAAAGAACCATATTCATGTTTGTCTACATTATGCCTTGTAAAAATTAAATTTGATATTTTAATGTATCTAAGCAAGTAAGTACTGAATGCCTTCTGGACTGAAATAAAATTTAAAATTCTTACTACCCATTCTGTTCAACACAGAATTAGAGGTGGGAGAAATGTATCCACACAAAATATATGGCTTGTTTTGGATTTCTCTTATTAAGCATAGATGAAGGGCATCTTAAAAGTATATGAACAAAATCCAAGATTACTAGTTGTGCATGCTTGTATGTTTTTAAGGAACAGAAAATCATAATGAAGAAAAGATTTGAGGAAATATACTAATGTCATTAAAATATAATTGGACTTACAGGAACAATTACTGTGCTGTACTGTAAGGGGAGCTGTTGGCACATAAGAGCAAAGCACACGTATGAGCTCATCCACCAGCCTCAGCAAGACCCACTTCCAGCTAGAAGCAGTCATGTTTCAACACCTCCGATTCCCTAATGCTGACAAGCTAAACAACTTGTTTTGTCTCTGGGAGCTCTTCTCTGGTGATTAACTGCTTATGGTGAATACTAATTATGTGAAAGTACAGTATTGAAGAAGTAGTGCCCTATTTCCTCTACCTGCAGCCTCAACTTGTCTTTAAATCTAGAAGGTACAAGGCAGAGCCACTGCAAACCAGATCCAAGAAAGACATTCTCCTCCACTCCCACCCAAGTAATAAATATAACTCCTGATTTTGGTAAAGCACAGTTAACTGACAAGAAATCTCCATTTAACCCCTGGGCTCCAAACCCAATATAATGACAATAAAGTCAGTGTTTTAAAAGCTGGTAATAATCATACAGATAAATTTGCAGCAAGAGTTTGTGAATTAGTAAACTATCAGTGTCCTCAATTTCCTATGTCCCATGTTGAAAATTTACCCCAAATTGTCAGTTCTTAGGAAGTGCACCTCAGATTAAAATCTTCTCACCAGGGAGTCTATAAGAATTTGTTCTTGTGTTTTAAATCCTAAGTGCTTGTTAAACCGCCAGCACTGCAAAATTAGAGACCATTAAACAATATAAGGCAGCAAGTGATTAAATCTACCAAATACACATTCAAAGCAGCTTAAGCTACTTTTTAATTAAAAATAAAATATCATTGGCTAAATGCAGATGTCTTAGCTACCCAGAAAAAGTTAGAAGGCTGTTCAAAATGCAAAGTGCTTCTGATAAGTCCATACATAAAAGGAGTCATAGGGTAGTGGGTGGGCTGGACAGGGAGCTTTGTGTGGTCCCTAAACCACATGGCAGGATGTCCCAATGCTGACCTGGTTCAGGCAGTGGACATTGAGAAGGAGTCTCAGCTGCACTGCAGGGTAAGGACTCCATGTGGCTGCTGATTAAGTAAGCTTTATTAGCAAAGGCCCCCAAGGAGATAGGGTGTTCCACCTTCTTGGCAGGGGAACAAGTTGAATAACAGCATCACAGGAAGCTAAGGCATTGGAGATGTATAGATGGCCAAAGGAAATGTTCATTCTATTTTTAAATACAGCTTAAGCTAATTGATAAACATTTCTCAAAATAATCACTAGCTTTTGGGGAAGGAGGCATAGGGGCTTTTGAGTTAATGGGATCACTTGAGATTAAAAGAAAATCTTACTGTAAAGTTAGAAGTAAATAAACCTTGTAGCTTTAAGTTGTTCCTACTTGTTTAAAGTAAAGAAAAAGGGCCAGGGGGCTTAGTCAACTTCAGGCAGAAGGCCAAGATTCTGAAGATCAGACTTAAGGCTGGGATGATATCATTCACTCTGAAGTCTTGATTCTCTTTCTGAAGCATGAGAAAATTTACTGGTAAAACCTTACCTCACCCACAGTTTTCTTATTTTTAACTCTATTTTTTTTCCCTCTCAAGAATGATTTTCCAAATATGCATTCTGCCTTATATGTAAATGTTATGAATTTACTTTTAGCTTCAGAAATGGTCTTACCTAAGAAGCTTGCCCTAAAGTAAAGTACAGGCACTTGGTAGCTACTAGAATATAAGACATGATATTCATATTTAATCACTTCAGATGCTGCTGCAGTCTCCGTCACTTCAGAATCATCCAAGGGTACCTCTAAAACCTCCTGAAAAAAAGCAAAAAGAAAACAAAACGTGTTGGTCAGGAAAAAAAACAGTATTTACATGGAAAGGGTAAGATGAAATCTCCTTCTTGCAAAATAACAGTTAAATAAATATAGGACTATGAGGTAAGGAAAAGGGAGTTACCCATATTAATGTTTAACATTTGAGTCCTGGATAAATAGTAAAACCAGAAAACATTAGCAGTAAGTAATTCCAGATTGTTTTGGGTAGACACAGCAGCTCTGGGTAAAGAAACAGGAAGGGGAAAAAAGATCTTTTGCAACAGCAACTCTAAAAATCTTTACTGTACAATTTTAGCAACAAGATGAGGGCTATACAAGCTACCTTCTTCCCTACCTGTGAAAGTTAAAAACATCCTAACAATTGAATGAGAGGCTGTGAAATGTCCCGAAAGATTCTATTGTACTTGCCAAAAGATGATTCATTGTGTGCTGAACAATTCCCAGTTCCATTTTGAATAAGTTATTTTGCAAGAGGTTGAGTTTGTTAGGTATATTTGAAATCCTGATATGATTCTGTTTTCTTCATTATTGTGCTATCTTTGGTATAGTTCCACAACAAATCTTGATTTATAATAGAGTAGATGGCAAACATTAATGTCAAGTTAAGCAGGGTTTTATAAGTGGGATAGTCATTTCACTTCTTACCTAATTATTCTTATTGGTTGCTTTTTTTTTTTTTTTTAATGCATGCTGGTTTCTTGTGAATGTATCTTGAGCCAGGCCAGCTGGTGCCAATAGTTCCAGGTTCTCTGAAGCCTGAGGCAGAGGGATCAATTGAGCCCAGGAGTTTTAGACCAGCCTGGGCAACACAACCAGACTCCATCTCAAAACAACAACAACAACAAAAGGATCTTAAGGTTTAGAAGAAATTAATTGGACTCTTTGAATTAGAGTCTGATTCCATCCACAGACACTTATTTATATGGGCTAAAGAATTTCCTTTGAAATTACTTTAGTTGAAAGAATGAAACAGGTGAGTTTGGCTTGTTTCTGCTTCTCATTAAAGCAATAACAGCAACAATGAACAATAGGAAAGATTTCAAACATTATCAATATAAAATAAGGCTGCCTGTAGAGATAAGTAGAACCAGGACTGCTTTCCAGATCTGTGTCTCCTTTACTAATTCCCTGCTCAGAGTCAGTTCATTGAGGAGATATTACTATGTATAAATCACAACAGGAGATATTTACAAAATATTTTTCACTAAATCCCAGTAAACACTATCAATTAAATACAATAATTTAAATAACCAGAGCTATATCACTAAAATAAACATTCCAGACACAGAAAATTAATAGTGTCAAGAAAGAAGCTTTTGTTTGTTGTTTGTTTTTAATTTTCATTAGGCATGAGTACCTAGATCTTTACAACAATTCTTTTAATCCAGATTCTTTTTGTTCAATAACTGGGTTATTTAGCACTTATAACTTCTTTTCTTTTTCTTTTTTTATTGATTTTTTTAAAAAAATGACATTGGAATGCATTACAATTCTTATTACACATATACAGCACAATTTTTCATATAAAATTATATCTTGGTGTTTTGTTTTGCATCTTGAATGTCCCCTAAAAGCTGTGTATGGAAGGCTTGATTACGAGCCTATATGTAGCTCTGTTGTGAGATGCAGAAACCTTAGGTGATGGGATCTAGTGGAAGAAAGTTGTGTCAATGTAGAAATGCCTATTAATGGGATATTAGGACCCCAGCCTGTCCCTTCCCACAACCACCACCCCATTCCCCAATCACTATGTCTTGAGCATTTTCCTCTGCCACATACTCCTTGACATGATATTCTGCCTTGCCACAAGCCCAAAGTCAAGGAAACATGGTCTGAAACTATAAGCCAGAATAAATCTTTCCTTCTTATAAGTTGATTTTCTCAGACATTTTGTCACAGCAATGGAAAGCTCACTAATACACATAGTAATAATAATAATAATAATTTCAAACACTGCACTGCACAAATATAAAAAATAAAAAGTGAAATTCTCTTCATCCTAGCACTTCTCTACCTCAAATTTGTAACCATTTCTAATAAGCTAGTGTACTTTTTTTTAGACATTTTTAGTTTGGGGCACACAAACATATATGCACACATACACACCTCCTCCACCCTGCACTCTCCAGTCAAACCATACTATATGGACATTCTGCTACCTGCTGTCATGTCAGTGCTGTAGACTGATTCCTTTACTATATTCCATTGTATGACTGTGTCATGATTATTCTTGTTTATTTCACATTTCCATATTGTTAGATATTTTATGTTGACTATACAATTTTCTCCTATTACAAATAAGGCTGCAATGAATATCCTAGATCATACACCTTATATACCTCTATTTTTCTATGGCACGCGCTCCTACAGGCAAGATCATTGTATCAGAGTACATGCATTTTAAATTTCAAGACATACTGCCAATCTGCCCTTAGAAAATGACTGTGTTAATTTATACTATTAAAAAATATGTCTGAGAATGTCCTTTTTCCCTATGCAATTAATACTGAATAGTAATATAGCACAATGAATTCCACTATTATGTATCATTATAATGCACTAATAAAAATTTTTAAATATCAAAAAGACAAAAAATAATACTGAATATTATGTTTTCAATTTTTGTCTACTTAATGAGTTTTAAAATGTCAAGCTTTTGTTTTAATTTCTAATTTTTGATTATCAGTGAAGGTGAACATCTAGTTCTACATTTATTGGTTATTTGTATCTTCCATGATTTGCTTATTCTTATCCACTGCCTACTTTTTTTTTATATTTAGTTTGCTTACGTTTTTCTTGTTTAATTATATAATCACTTCATTATCAAAAATAAGTTATTATTGAACATAAGTACATATGACTGCACCAGTTTTCTTCCAACTTAGTTTATTATAATTTTATCATAAAGTTTTTAAAATGTTTATGTAGTCAAATCTATGTATTTTCTATTTACACCTTCTGAATTACATGCCTTCAATAGAAAGCAGGCTGCTATGTCCCATCTTACTCTTAATAATTATAAAAATGTTAAATTCCTTTATTATATACAAGTTAAATTAACATTGACATTATTAATCCATTTGAATTTTGTTCTTTGTGTATAGTACAAAGTAGATTTTTCCCAGATGCTTTCCCATAGTCTATCTTCTCCCCACGATTTTAAATGTTACCATTATCATAGTTTAGGGGTGTATCTATGGTTTATTCTCTTTTCAATCAGAATGGCTTAATTTTTAAAAAAAATGTTACCATCAAATATTTATGAAGATGCTATATCATACATATACTGTTGGATGGAACATAATACAGCATAACCTCTCTGGAAAATCATAGTTAGTTTTTTGAAACTCTAAACATAATTACCATAACAACCCACTACTTGCACTCTTGGGCATTTTTCCCAGAAAACTGAAAAACCTGTACTTAACTGTTCGTATTTTTTTTTCAGAAGAGCCAAAAACTTGAAACAGTTCAGATATCCATCAACAGGTCAATGGTTAAACGAACTATGGAACATCCATATCATACTATTTAGCAATAAAAAGGAGCAAACCATTGACACACACACACACACCTGCATAAATCTCCAGGGAATTATGATAAGCAATAAAAATCAATCCCAAAAGGTTAAATATAATTTGGATCCACTTATAAAACATTTTTGAACTGAGAAATTTATTCTAAACAAAGAACAGAGAGTAGATTGGTGTCGAGGGGGTAGAGTAAGGTGTGTCTGGTTACAAAGGGCAAAATGAGAAATACTTGTGATGGAACTGAATACACTTGTGGTAAAATTATATAGATAGAAGTACATACACAAGTACAAGGAAAACTGTGGAGACCCAAGTAAGAGCATGTCTACCATATAAATGGACGTGTTATTACACCACAGTCTTATAAGAAGTTATCACTGGGGAAAACTGGGCAAAAGGTACATGGGATCTTTTTGATTACTTCTTATTACTACATGCAAATCCATAGCACTTTTACAAGAATTGATTTATAAAATCAAATGCAAAGAAATATGCAATTTGAGGCTTGTTAAAAACTTAATAAATTTCTAAGACCTCAATGTGCTAAGAATATGGACAGTATAAGGATCATGTTAATAAAGGAACTCCAATGTCTGAGAGAATATAAGGAACAATAAATGTTGGCAAGGATGTCAGGGGAAAGGTACACTCATACACTGTTGGTGGGACTGCAAACTGGTGCAAGTAATTAGAAAAGCAGTATGGTGATTCTTCAGAAAACTTGGAATGGAACCACCATTTGACCCAGATATCCCACTCCTTGGTTTATACCCAAAGGACTTAAAATCAGCATTCTACAGTGACTCAGTCACCTCAATATTTATAACAGCTCAATTCACAATAGCCAAACTATGGAACCAACCTAGATGCCCTTCAATGGATAAAGAAAATGTGGTATATATATATATATATATATACACATGGGAATATTACTCAGCCTTAAATAAGAATGAAATTATGGCATTTGCTTATAAATGGATGGAACTGGAAAATATCATGCTAAGAGAAATAAGCCAATCACCAAAAAACAAAGGCCGAATATTTTCTCTGATATGCAGATGCTAATTCACAATTAGGATAGGTGGTGGCTAGGGAAAAATACAGGTAATTTGCATTAGGCAGAAGAGTGTGAAGGGAGGGGAGGGGGGATTGGGAGTAGGGAGGATAGTAGAATGAATCAGATATTATTACCCTGTTTACATATATGTTTACATGACCGGTGAGATTCTACATCATGTACAACCAGAAGAATGAGAAGTTACACTTCATTTATGTATGACATATCAAAATGCATTCTACTGTCACATATAACTAAGTAGAACAAATAAAAAAATACTGGAGAGTATTAAGTAGATGGAAGTGGTTAAAGAGGGATGATTGTTGAGGTTGCTCCATGGGTCCTTGGGTCCTTGTAGTATTCTATCAATTTTTATAAATACTTAAATT